GACAGAGAGGGAGAGAGGCGTGTCCTTAAAGGACATTACCTCGTCGAACTCGCCGGGCACGACCAACTTTTAGTCGGTAGCGAGCCCACCTTTTTTTTGCTTTTGATTTTGCTACTCTTCAATAACACCCCCGCTTTGCTTGCTTCGACAATACGCGATGCGATGCGTCCATAAAAGAGAAAATTAGAAAACTGAATGATAAAAAAATAAAACAGGGTGACGTACCTTGGAAGGCCCCGACTTCTTTGCCCTTTCCGGTGAGTTCGAGTCCGACCGCGGCCGCTTCTGCAGGCAGTCATTAACAAGCGAGTTTGAAAAGCATAACGACTTTTTATAATCGGGGGACGAGTTGAGTCGGCCGTGTCCACACCGCGGAGGGGAAAGGGGGTGGGGGAGCTGGCGGTTCTGTGCTTTTGCTCGCTGTCATGCGCTCCCTCGCCACCCCTTCCCCAACCCCACTGCTTCTACCAAACTCAGGAAACCGTTTCATTCTGGGCACGAAATCATGACTTTCATTAGAATTTCGTTTCAATTAAAACAAAGACACATATTTTTCTAAAGCTCAATCAAAATTTGTTCAAATTGATAAAACTTTCGTTATTTTAAATAAATGTTTTCGTCACAAAAATTAGACCTTGGATTTTGGCCCGAAATTTTCGTCATAGTAAATCACAATTTATTGTGAGCAAGGAAACTTTTTTGGGGGGGTTCAGGAGTGAAAAGGGGGTGGTTGTGGGGGGAAGTCCGCCTGCAGCGACGGATATCATCGATTATCCTGCTGTTACCAGGCATATTTCTCAACTCAATATCCGTATACTTTCTGTTTACAAACCTGCGCCTCCTTCGTCGTTGTCTTCCTCGGCGACGTCTTTTGCGGCGAGGCCTTCCTCGGCGACGTGGTCTTGGACGGCGACGCGCTACTGCTACTCATGCTACCGCTGGCACCTGCCATCGCGGAAAGGGAGAAGTCGGCCGTCTCCTTAGACTTCTTGAACAGTGCCTGCACACAGAAAACGATTCAGCCAGACGACCTTCAGTACATTTTGTGTTTTGTTTTTGTGTTGTTTTTTTTGACCGACAACTCGACAAACAGCATCAAAACAGCTTAACATACTTTCACTGCTCACACACTTTATCTTTCCATTTCTATCCAGACTGATGTGCCGTTTACTTTAAATGTTGATAGCACAAGCAATTTGGATCTCTGCCTCACCCTGAGCTCCGGCAGCGAGGTGGCCTGCTCCCAGGTCTTGTCGTCGCGGATGCGCGTGACGCGAGGGAAGCGCACCGAGATGCCGTCCGCCGTGTGCACCTCGGTCTGCGTGAACTCGGCGCCCGTGATCTCCCACACCTGCGTGTCCTTGGGGTCGACGGCCACGAAGTCCGGGTACATCTGCTTGTTGGCCTTGAGCCAGTCCGGGATCTTGCCCGGGTCCTTGTGTATCTTGACCATCTTGAGCTCCGTCTGCAGCCGCGCCAGCGTCTCGTCGTCGTGGCCGCCGTGGACCTTGGTCACGGTGCACCAGCGGCGCGTCGCCGGGTCGTAGCAGCCCATGAGGAAGATGGACATCATGCCGCCCTTCTGGCCCGTGCCGTAGAACGCTCCGAGCACCACCAGGTCGGCCGTGTCGGCCATGGCGCCGCCGAAGAGGTAGTCCTTCTTCACCTTGAGCCAGTGGCGCTTGCCCGGCTCGTACGGGCCCTGCGCAGAGGACCGGCGGGTCAGCCAAAGCCCCTAGACTAATCGTCGCCGCATAGCATAGCGGGGCTTACCTGCAGGTCCTTGAGCACCAGTCCCTCCAGCCCCAGGCGGAACACCTTCTCCATCATGGCCGTCAAGTCCTCGGGGCGCTGCAAACGGAAGGAAGGGGGGGGGAATAGAATCGCTACGCTGATAACAATATTCCTTCGCAAGGAAATTCGAGAGGAGAGAGAGAGAGACGCGACGTGGCGAATAAAAGTCACTTACGTGGATTTCTTTCTGCTCTGAAAACAAGATTCGATTCGGTATCTCCACCATCACTTTTTCCAGGATTTTTCGCCTCTGCTTCATGGTCCTTAGGAAGAAGAGGGAGGCGTTAGACCGGCAATTCTACGTAAAAAGCGGTTGCAAGAGGGAGCGAGGAAGGAATGCTCACTTGTGCAAGAGGGACTCCCCGTTGTAAAACATACAGTCGAAGACGAAAAGGCAAACATTCGCGTCTTGAAAAGCGGATTGCTGTGACCAAACAAAATGCAATGATGAATCCTCTCTTCCTATATTCTACACTTAATACTCGACACTGATCGGCAAAATGTTCACTAACCTTGTGCACCCCAAGTGAGCCGAAGGGAAGGGGCTTGCCCGTCTTGTTGTCGATGAGGAGGATCTCGCTGTCCAGGATCAGGTCCTCGCCACTGGGGAACGCGTCAGGGATGTACTGCTTGAAGTGGTTCACCTGCAGCGTACACACCAATGTTAGCCCAAACCCACTACTGGTCCGCTCACGAATGCGCTCTCCAACGCCCTCTCCCCCTCACCTTGTGCGCGAGCACGGGCTTGAGCGCTCGCGAGTAGTACTTGAACTCGTCGCCTTGCTTGTGCACCTGCACGCGCTCGCCGTCGTACTTGATCTCGGAGTACATGCCGTTGGGGCACTTCTTCATGGCCTGCTCCACCGACTTGCACGCCTCGGCCAGCATGGGCAGGACGGGCGTCAAGAGGCTGATGGAGATGCTGAAGGAGCCCGAGCCCGAGGCGCCGGAGGCGGAGGCGCCCGACGACGACGCCGACGACGGCTGCCCCTTGTCGAGCAAGGCCTTCCGCACCACGGCGCGGAGGTCCCGGGAGGTCTGGAAGGCCGCGTACGCGTCCGGGTGGATGGCGGCCAGGCTGGGCAGAAAAAAAAAACAATCACGACACGGCTCTTTCATATCGGCAAAATACATAAAACGGCGGCCTCGTCATGTGGGGGCCCGAAGCGCTCCCCTAACTCCCTTGGCTCGCACGACTATATCGCACGGGCCAAACGACTGGCTCCCCCTGGCGGCCAGCATCCCCACGACCACCGAGGACGGCAGTCTCTCTGCCGGAGGGTAGCGCCGCGCCGCAAGTGGCCACGGGGTAAAGCCGTGGAAGTGGCGCGGCTCTTTTGAATGTCAAACCTCACCAGACATACAGCGTTTAATTTAAGTTATACTAAGAGCGTGTTTTTCTAGCCGTCATAACTGTACTATTGTCGTGGAATTCTTCCCTTCAAATTTAACTCTTTGCTAAAACATAGGCCAAAAAGGCAATTTTATTTACACTTCGTAGCAGAAAAAGGGGAAACTGCATACATGCATCTCCCTTTCTCGCAAATATCAAGACACATACGAATATTGTTCTAATATTCAAGTGATTCTTTCAGATCTTGTATCCGTTCATTCTTGTTACCCTTCCAATAAATGGTGTTGTAAGCTAGATGTCTCGCATAATCTTTCGCTTGGTCTCTCCGCCTGTCTCCCATCCTGCCAACGTTTGCGAATCTCGGAATAGATTACAAGGGAATAATAAGACCCCGTATAAATAAGGCATCGCCGAGGAAACAAATCGAACAAAAAGAGGAAATCGGCTTGTGACTGAAGGACTTATGTTCACACCAACTTGAAAACAGATATGAAAATGAGAGAGAGGGGGGACGAGAAGGAGGAGGGAGGAGGGAGGAGAGAGGGGACTAGGGGA